GTTTGGAGATAATGGACCCTAAACATAGAAAGTGAACCACTTTCTCTCAGATCTCAAACTGTGATCATATGAAGAGCAGCTCAAATTAGAGTGAGAACCTGCTGCTCCCCAGCCCCACCGCCTTCCGACCCAGAAGGCAGCAAAGTCCCCATTTGCACAGGGCAATAAACTACCAATGGTGCCGCTAGACTGTCAGTAATAGGAATCTGTAGATTGATGAGTCTATAAAATCTTTCACTTTCACTGCTGGAACAATTGAAGTCTCCTAGGTTAATAAGTAACATGGCCTTTGCAAACATCAACTGGAGGACAGAATGTGAGAATTCCATCTCTGTTGCCACACTTCCTAAAACACAACTCCTGTGCTCGCTCACACTCGCTCGGCTCTCCCCCCCCCCCCCCCCAACAATCTCTCCCCTCCCCCTTCCTTTCCTCCTCAATTTGGCTTTTCTGTCATGGTTCATGCTGGTATAAATTCTCCCTCCAGACACATCACTGTAACCCTTCTCAGGGCTTCTCTTCACACCACTTTATACAGTCTATAAGGAGCCACCTGGCACTTCTCTTGAGGGAATCTTTTGTCTCCTTGTATCAGGATCTGGGATAATGGCTACTGTCTGGTGGATCCTACTTTCCTGTGCAGATGACACATAAACTAGCTGCCCCTCCTCAAAATTCCCAATATTCACCCCTGATTGCTGTGTGCCTGCAGGACCCACACCTCTCTGCAATTATCTGTTGCCGAAGGGGCAGAAAAGGATTCACTTTTGAGCCTCACCTGTGGGTTCCCCCTTGACCAACTTTCCCAGTATAGTAGAAATGCCTCCGCCTCCAGACCCACCTCTTCAACAAAGAGCCCAAAGTTAACTCCACCTGGTCTCTGTACTGGTTTTCTTGTTGTTGTTTTTTGAGTTGGAGTCATCTCTACAATAAATGTAAAAAAATTAGCCGGCCGTGGTAGCGCGCGCCCGTAGTTCTACTTGGAAGGCTGAAGCGGAAGGATCGCCGGAGCCCAGCAGGTCGAGGCTGCGGTGGCCACGAGCGACCACTGCTCTCCAGTCTGGGCAACAGAGTGAGACTCCAACTCAAAAAAAAAAAAACCAAACAAACAAAAACTTGGTCCTTCAATGCATATTAATTTGAGAATCTCTAATCTAGGTGATTTGACAGGAAGTAGTCTGTAGCACACTCTTTGAGAAACATTGATGCTTAGGTTTGTACTATGTCTCTGGATCAAAAATTCAACCTCTGACTTGAAGAAACCCACTCTAGACCAATGGTTTTCACTGTGGTAGCATATTAGAATCATGCAAAGAACTTTTAAAATATAAATATAGGGACCATACTCTGAATCAATTAAATCTAAATCTCTCAAGGTGAGACTCAAACATTGGTATTTCTTAAAAGCCAAGTGGTATTTCTAAAATACCAAGTGGTTCAAGGCCCAGTGCAGTAACTCATGTCTGTAATTCCAGCACTTTGGGAGGCTGAGGCAGGAGGATTGCTTGAATCCAGGAGTTTGAGATCAGCCTAGGCAATGTTACAAGACTTTGTCTCTACCGAAAAAAAAAAAAATTAGCCAGGCATGGTGATGCATGTCTGCAGTTCCAATTACTCAGGAGACTAAGGTAGAAAGATTGCCTGACCCTGAGAAGTCAGTTGAATCTGTGGTGAGCCATGATCATGCCACTACACACCAGCCCAGGTGACAGAGTGAGAATCTGACTCAAAAAAGTAAAAAATAAAAAGTTCCAGGTGGTTCAAAGGTACAGCCAAGGTTGACAGACTGAATCCTCTCACTTTACCATCTTTGACAATTAGCCTGGCCTTTTGTTGTTTTGGTTTTTTTGTTTGTTTGTTTGAGGAAGCCTAAGACAATATCTCTCCTTCCAATAACACTTTAATTCAAAAGTAAAGCAACAAATGACGAAGGGGAAGCACTCCCAGAATAGCAAAGACCTACAAAAATCTGCCTCTCCATAGATAATAATAGCACTGGCAAAAGTGTTCAAAATCAGCTTTTTCAAAACTCTGAAAATTAATCAAAGGCTTGTAACAATCTGAGGAGTATTTATTCAAGAAGCCCACAGCTGCATCTTGGCTCAGCCTGTAATCCCGCGCCTTTGGGAGGTTGAGGTGAGTGGGTTCGAGACCTGTCTGGGCAACTTGGCAAGACCTCATCTCTACAATAAATCAAAAAATCAGCCGGTCATGGTAGCGCGTGCCTGTAATTTCGGCTACTCGGAAAGCTGAGGCGGAAGGATCGCCGGAGCCCAGCAGGTCGAGGCTGCGGTGGCTGGGAACGGCCACTGCACTCCAGTCTGGGTGACAGAGTGAGACTCCAACTCAAAAAAAAAAAAAAAAAAAAAAGAGTGGCACGCTTTTGTCATGTTAATGGGCCCTCCTCCTATCCACCTCTTCTCAGCTCTGCAGTATTTAAAACCGCGTTTTAATGTGCTCCTCCTTCTATCTCCCTCTTCTCACCTTGAAAACCAAGAACAGGGAGATATAGATCATGCAAATAGTAACCAAAGTAGAGACGGAACAGTTATACTAACAACAGACAAAACAGACTGAAAATTATTATTATAGAAAAAAAGGACATTTTGCAATGATAAAAAGGGTCAACACATTAGAAATACATAGCAATTACAAGTATATACACAAATGTGTATATAACCATGGTAAAAACCATGTGATGCAAAAACTGACCAAATAGAATGGAGAAAATGGTAATTTAAGAATAATGGTTGGGTCAGGTGCTGTGGTTCATGCCTATAATTCCAGAACTTTGGGAGGCCGAGGAGGGAGGACCTCTTGAGCACAGAGAGACCGAGGAGGGAGGATCTCTTGAGCCCAGAAGTTCGAGTGTATTGGTGTTTATAAATTTCTAAGATCATAAGATGACAATCTCTTCAATTCTGTGAGAAACCTTACCACAAAACCACATGTGCCTATCACAAAATGATTCTATGAATATGTGTAAATGATTTATCAATTTGCTTCAAATTCTTTTTTCTTTTAATTTTTTTATTTTAAAGATATGGGGTACAATTCAGAATTAGATATACAAATGTTCATTATGCAGATACCCTTGTTCATGAGGTGTGCCCCCCACTTTCCCCAGGCAGATTCCCACTACTACCAATCCTGCTTCCCCGTCCCCCTCTCAGCAGTTTCCCACTACTGCCAATCATTCTCTTATGGTATTATGATAATTGTTCAAGGTTCACTTATGAGTGAGAACATGTGATACTCAGGTCTTTGTTTTTGTGAAAGATCACTCAGTATTATAGACAGTTCATCCAGGTTGTTGTGAAGATCATGATTTTGTTCTTTTTTATGGCTGCGTAGTATTCCATCGTGTATATGTACCACATTTTTTTAACCCAGTCCTCTTTTGATGGGCAGCATGGTTGGTTCCATGTTCTTGCTACTGTGAACAATGCTGTGATAAACATATGTGTGCAGGTATCTTTTTTATACAGTGATTTGAGTTCTTCCGGGTATATTCCCAGTTGGGGGATTGCAGGGTCATATGGAAGGTTTATTTTTAGATCTTTTAGGAATCGCCACACTGTTTTCCACAGAGGCTGTACTAGTTTATACTTCCATTAACAGTGTAAAAGTGTTCCCTTTTCACTGCATCCTCTCCAGCATCTGTTGTTTTTTGAGTTGTTAATGATGTCCATCCTGACTGGAGTTAGGTGGTATCTCAGTGTGTCTTATGGCAGGGGCGCTTGGGGTTTTGATCAGGAATTGGTTGCCAGTTCCAATTTCCATAAGGGTATCTCCTGCATTTTCTAAGTTTCTTATAGTTTGAGGTTTTACATTTAGGTCTTTGATCCATTTAGAGTTGATCTTTGTGTATAGTGATAGATAGGGATCTTGTTTTAATCTTCTGCACATGGTCAGCCAGTTTTCCCAGCACCATTTACTGAATAGGTTCTCCTCTTCCCAGTACTTGGTGGAGGCTTTGTCGAAGAGGAGTTGGTTGAGTAATTGAGGTTTCAAATTCTTTTAAAGAGTTTTAGCTTTGAACTGAGACCTATAGACAATGGCTCTTCGGGAGGAATGAGAAAGGCAGAGACACAATGGGCAAGTGTACTCTCTGCCTTCAGTTAGGGGCTCTTAGCACTTCTGCCAAGATGAGCCTGAGACACAATCCCAGATGGGCTTTTGTCCACCATGTCTCTCACACAGGGCCGGACTCTGGTTTCCGGGAGAGCTTGTGGGATACAGTAAACTCCTTTATGGAGAACGGCCATTGCTGAATCAGCATAGCTGGGTACTTTCTGATATAGGAAGACAGATGTACGACCTCTAAAAACATGTCTCAGGGCAAAAGTTCCCATGCTCCCCAGATCCCCATAGGAAAACTCCCAAAGGCTCATGGCCTGTCATCACAACTCAGCATCAACTTTTATGGCACTTAAATGAAATAGTTGGAAGCCAACATGGAGAACAAACTCAAAAGACTGTTCCTCTGACCAGAATGTTAGAACTGAGGGCTCACAGCAGGGGTGGTCATCCTGGGTTAGTGTTAATGCAGGGATCTTAGAAGGCTTCCTGGTTGGATTGGTGCTGAACTGGATCTAGGAGGAAGGAATGCTCCTGCATTGCGAGTGAGGGTGTCTCAGGGCAGATTCTCTGCTGAGGATGATATTTCAAGACAGGATCTATGCCATTGTGCAGGGGGTCTTTCCTTTCGGGGCAGGATCTATGCTATGGGGAGGGAGAGACTATTTCAGGGAAGAATCTATATTACCCTGAGAGAATATTTCAGGGAAATAAGAAGGGAAGTGTATTTCAGGGAAGGATCTATGTTACTGGGGGTGTGGCGTGTATTTAGGGTAGAAGCTATGTAACTGAGAGGAAGAGGTCAGGTTCAAAGGGTGATGGTATGTGTGAACGTTGCAGAGAAGAACTCTGTATCTAGAGCTGCTGAGAGGCCACCAGGAGATCCCCAGGGTTCGTGGGCAGACCTTTCTGCCTTGCAGCTGTGGGGAGGGTTGACTGAAGTAGACAAATCCTCATTTTTAATAAAGAAATCAGGCTGCTATAGGATAGTATGCTTCCCAGTAACACTCCACCCCAAGACTGCATTTCTTCTAGATACCGATCTTCTCTATAGTGAGATGCACCAGGGAAACAGATGTGTGTGTTTTCATGGCTGGGGTGGGCCTGGCGGAGTGGGGAGTGAGTACAGGGAAGGTTGGGGTAGGTCAAAAGTTGATTCCCAAGCCTCTTTTTAGCCTCTCAGGGTAAGAAGAAGGCGCTGTAAGGCACAGCTTCACATACTCCTGGCCCCTTCATCCCTACCAGGCCCACGCCCGGCTAAGGATTTTACTCTTAATGGGTGCTTTTTATGGGACAGTCTCCTCATACAGAATGCATTGTTTAATGTTCCACCAAAATCCTTTAAAGATGAGTCTGTGTCTCACGAAGGTAAAACGTAAGGAGTGTTTACTGCAGGTGGGCCTGATGGTGAGAGGCGTGGGACAGGGCCAGGAGAGAGTAGCCAAGGAGTGAGGGTGGAAGAATCTCCTCAGGGCCCTCAGCAACCCTGGGTCAAAGGCCACCTGAGAGCCAGAAGGGATGGGGTCAAAACCTAGGCAGAGCCGGGCTCGGTGGCTCAGCCTGTAATCCCGCGCCTTTGGGAGGCTGAGG